ACTCTCTATCAAAATTAAGTATTTGCATGTTTTCCACAGACTTCCCATTTCAATTTTCATGCATCTGACACATTAGCTTGTTTTTTGGGATATTTGCATGTTTTCATAATCTAGACTTACCTATGAGTGATACAACTTCTACATCTGATGAAGATTGGCTGGAAGCACCAGCCTGCCTGAGGACAGTAATATCACACATGAGCATTGGCAGACATTCTGTGCTGACAGACAAGGAAGAGTCTGCACTGCTTTCTGCTAGCAGTTCTGCTTTGAAACATATGATCTCTGTATTTGCTGATGAAGGAGAGAAAAGGACGGGAGGTGAGAAAGTGCACATCAAACATTTGGCCTGGAATGAGAGCTATTATTTGAGTCATGTATAAATTGCAAGGCCTAGTCATGTGGTTATTTGTAACTAAAAGAACACTTTTATCTCTCCCTAAACCCAAGAAGGAGAAAAACACTGGATACGGAGGAGCACTTGCAGCCTCCCCTGCACTTTACAGAGTATGTCTCCAACAGACTAACTGGTAGAATGTATGTTTGGTTTATTTTCTCTCTTTGATACATTTTAGGTATACAGTACAGTTACATTCATCATTGGGATCCTGTCCTGTACCTTTACATGACAGGTCTTGGTCGTCATTTTTCCCCCTTGTCCCAGCCTTCTCTTCACCCCCTCCTCCCTTTCCTATTTACAAATACTTTATTTCCATTTTTTCATTTTCTCATATTTTTTCCCTTATTACATTTCCCCTATCCACTTCCCCTACACCTTTAGCCCTTTTCCTCCTATTTCACACTGTCAATTATATCATTAGGATCTTATGTACCCTTATAGTTTTATACATGTGTGACTTACTTATTTCACTGAGGAGTATATCCTCAATATGTATCCATTTTCCTATGAATGAATCTAATTTCCCATTCTTTTTTTGGTACCGGGGATTGAACTCGGGACCTTGTGCTTACAAGACAGGGGGCGGCACCACTGAGCTAAATCCCCAGCCCAAATTTCTCATTCTTTATGGCTGATCAGTTCAAGGCTCAGTTTCCAAAGTCAAATTCTTTGAAATTTTTCAAACTTTTTTTTTTAGCATCCTGTCATGCTGTGTTCTTCTGTTTTGAGCATTATCTTCACATTCAGGTTATTATCGATTTTTTTTTAATGATCCTATACAGTGGGCCTAAGCACTAAAATCCCATGTTTGTGTTGGGTATTGATCCCGCACTGTTACACAGAGCTACCTGTAAAAACACTTATTTCTAACTTTTAATTTTATTATTTTCAGACTTGGTTTAAGTAAGCTGTTATGCAGTCCTGGGGTGAATTTAGATTCTCTTGCCTCAGCCTATGTGATTCCTAGCATTACGGGCATGCATCACCATGATTTGTTGATCTTTTGCATTGTTATGATATATCACATCCAATCAGACGTGCATTAGGAAGGTTTTCGTCACTGTGACCAAATTCTTGAGAAAGTAAACTTGGAGGAGGAAAGATGTCTTTTGGTTCATGGTTTCAGAGATTTCAGTCCATGGTCAGCTGGCCCCACTGACTTTGAGTCAGAGCAATCCCCAAAATCCAATTAGCAGGCCTCTTGGGATACATTTTCAATACAAATATGACAAAATCTTTCTGCTCAGAGCTATAGGATAATTTCTAAAATCTTAAGAGGGTGACGATTTGCTACTTCCTATTGCTTCGTGGTCAAAGTCTAAATTTCTACTATCTTCAGGATGACGGAACACACCCAACAGTGTTGTACCCATAGGGAAGGGGAAAAAGAAAAACAGGATTTCCCCCCTGGCTTGTAAGTCAGAAAAGACACAATGGAAATATGTTAAAGTACTTCTGTCTTTGCTGAACAAAGATACCATGTCTGCCAATAAAACAGGTTTCTTTACCTCAAGAACTCTGGCAAACTCACAAAAACATACACATGAGAGTTGTTACCCAGGGAGTTCTGTGTTCTCTGCCGTACCACTTTTCCATGGATGGAGGCTTCCTAAGTTACCACAGGTTCTTCCACTCACATTTTGTCATTCTTAACACCCTGACAAAATAACTGCCCTTAGCTTATTGTTTGCCAAATTGCAATGAGGAGAACCTGTTGCATTTTTCTTTGAATGAAATGAGTGCTGTCTCTCCATGGCCTTGGCACATTACACTCACCCCAGGAGATTTTAGGAAACCAATCTCAGGAGACATCCTTCTTTTTGGAAACTCCTTGGAGGTGACATGTATAGAACACTCAGTTTATTTATTGGATTCGATTGCTCGGGTAAGCTCGATCATAGATCTGTGGGATCAGTAACCAGTTGCTGGGGTACCACTTCATGCAAGTTCCACTGCAAATATCTCTGTGTCTTCCATACACTCTCCAACTTCAGCATCACACCTCCCAGTGATACAGCAAAACAGACTATACTCACCAGATTTCTGGAAAACTATTTTCTGAGAGTGAGGTCATGCTTCAATTTCTCTGTTAAATTTATCTTCTAACTGGAACATGATTTTCATCAGAGGAACAGCGGTAGGAAGAGTGAGACTGACAAGAGTGGGAGTGGGCCATGAAGGAAGAGGACAGAAGATTCTGCACTGTTTCTCCCCATGAGAACAGCATACAACCTGCACAGGAGGGTGTGCTGAAGGCCCGCAAGTCAGATTCTAGTATGAATAACAGGGCACGTGGTAGACAACCAAGAGAAACGTGCCGTAATGCAAGGTATGAGCAAAATATCAGAACAGAGACACAGGCAGTTCTCAAGAAATCTTGGGAGAAGGGGAAGCAGTGTTCTAGCCAAATGAGTCCCACAGATAAACCTGAAGCTGTCTTTGAATTTTATTTCACCTTGCTGTCTTTAATCCTGCTTTAAATTCATGGGTCACACACAGCATGTTTCCTTTTACATTCTGAGAGTCATTAAGGAATTGTTACAATAGAAATCAGTCCAGGGACAGAGGTGTAACTCCAGGTGAGAGGCAATTCTAGATGAACTCAAGAAAGAGGTGTAGTCCCAGCACTGACAATCAGATAATGTAAAAGAGCACAGGATCACAAGCACTATGACCAGGGTGTCAATGTGTTTTGGTAATTCCTATCTTCTAGGCCAGGAATTTAGCTCAGTGGTTCTGTTGCCTGCCTCACAAGCACAAGATCCAAAGTTCAATCCCCTGTATCAAAAACAAACAAACAAAATCCTATCTTCTAGGACCATGTAAAGTATATAAAGATGGCAAATTGCTTGGCATATGTTAAGTTTCTGCTGAAGAGCAGTTATTGCTTTGATTATGTTGACTTCAAATCTACTTCTGTATATGATCTAAATACAGGCTTTCTCAGAAAATAAAATGCTACAGGGCCTGAACTCTCAAGTCAGACTGAATTATCATCAGCAAGTAAAATTATAACATTTGCCCTCAACATTCAGTATTTAATGCAGGTTTAAGGCTGCCTTCTTCAGTAGTATGACTGAAATCTTGCAGAAATTCCAAAGCCTTTCCTTGCTCAAAGTTGTCCTTCAGTCCAAATCCTGCTTTTATTCATTTCACCCCCTCCACCAAATGTTTGCCCTTATTTATTGCTTGTCAAATTACAAGCAAGATAAGCAACAAAGAATTCCCTTTTAAGGGGGATGTGGTGGTGCAGGCTTGTAATCTCTGCACTCTGGGAGGCTGAGTTGGGAGGGTAAATTAGTTTTAGTGCACCCTGGGTCATGTAACAATTTGGCCAGATCTTGACTCAAAAATAACAAAAAGGGCTGAGGATGAAGCTTAGTAAGAAGGCCCTGGGTTCAATATCCAGTACCCACCCCCAACTGCCCTGAATGAATTGAGCATGGCCTCTCCTGGGTTATGGTAATGCATCCCCACTCACACTTGAATTTTAGTAACCAATCTCAAGGAGCATCATCTTTATTCCTCAAAAAACCCTTGGAGATAATGTGAATAAAACATTCCATTTGTGTACTGATCAACTGTATTGAAGAGGAGAGGAGAATGTCTACCATTTGCGGCATAGGTGAGAATCCTCCCAGAATTACCCATGATCGACAGGGAACACTGATAAACAATTTTCACAACAGGCTTCCGGTATTAAAATCTGAGAAATACAGTTTGCGAGGGTAGTCCCTGCTCCCCATTCCTTCAGCCTCATCTGACGCACAGACCAGCTTAAACTAAAACTGAGGTCCTTTAAAGAATGTGAAGTTTTCAGATGTGGCAAGCAAATGCTTGTAAGCAAACACTCACAGGGAAACTGCTATGGACTTTTCCCATCCCCCCCTCCCCATATGTACCTTCTTTCTGCTTGTCATTGGATATTAGAAGACGTATCTTCATCTCCATAAGGTAGTTGTTGCTCTTAAATTAAAACTCCACACGTGTCTTCTCAGTTCCCCTGACCCTAGGATCCCCAGAAGAGGTGCACTGCTTTCCCAGAGTAAGTACATAATGCAGGTTTGGAGAACATGGAACCAATAACCACAGAAAGTAATTTATTAAGATTTATTTCTCGTAAACTATATAAAATAACTGAACATAGCCACGCATAATAAGTTACTTATTTTTACAGAACAAGAGACTAAAAGGAATAAGAAAAGTGGGTAACTTTTATAATTTCTACTTTGTTCAATTGACACCAGGCACATTAAGACTGAGCTTTTTCATATTTCCAAAGAAATATCTATGTAAATTCAATGTTTTGTTATATTCCATGTGACCATATAAAACTGATGCTTTTAGATGTTGTTTTATCATGTAGAAATGATCATATTAGTCTCACAAATGGCATGATGTGTGAATAGTATCACTTGGATATTCAAGATATTGCAACTAAATCTCTTCTAAAGAACATTTGTTGAAAAATACAACCATCAAAAATGGACAAGGGGAAAAAATGAGAATCAAGACCTGTCATGTAGAGGTACAAGATCCCAATAATGAATATAAAAATACTGTACACCTAAAATGTACCAATAAACTCAATTAAAAAAAACACAATAAACTGTCAGATTGCACAACGAAAACTAACATATGAATGATGTATTCTGTCTTTCTGTCAGACCCATCTCAGTACCGGTACCTACATTCTTTCAATACTAGCATTCTCCTCCAGCAAACTAGCTATTCTAGGAACAATAAGTGAAAAATCCACCTCTCACTTGACTAGGTGTAAGAGAAACTACTGCCCATTGCACAGTAACTTGCAGTGGACCAGGAAGCAGCTCTCAGAGAGGCACTGGCTAGTGCTCTCTCGACATCTTCTAGCACAGCCTCTGCCTAATGAGATGAGAAATGACTTGGACACTGGCTAGTGCTCTCTCGACATCCTCTAGAAGAGCCTCGGCATACTGAGACAGGAAATGACCTGGGTCAACCCCCAGAACCTTGGCCAAAAACTCCAGCACTTTCATCTTGCTGGTTTCAGCATAGGCTCTTGGGCCCCAGAGGAATTCATACTGCGGAGGATCACTGTTGGCCACCAGCCGGTATTCCACATACTTTTCCTGCACAAATTCTTTGGTGATGACCTTCCCCGGCTCCCCAAACAGAAAGTGATTTTTCCCAGAATACATCCCTGCCAGATTCAGCGCTTTCCACATCTCCTCTTCAGGGGCACGGTTGCCCTTCATGAAGATCACACCCAGGACAAGCATCAGGAGCCCAGTCTTGGGCATGCCTTCTTCACCACTTCGCATCCCATCGTAGGTGAGGCCCAGCTTGATGAAGACACCGTAGCAGTGGCTGATGGGATCCACTTCCTTCACATCTAAGCCAAAGATCATCTCCATGCGCTCACAGGCTCGCAGTAAGATCTGGGCGAAGTGTGCTTCATCCTCTTGTGCTTCATCCTCTTGTACGATAATCTTCAACATATCTGCCTTCCTTATTGGCTCTTTCATCTGATACTTGAGCAGCATGAAACTCACTAAGAAGGACACTTTCTCATCCACAGCACTGCGGGGCACATTCCCAGGGGCCGCTGCAGCCTGTCTGGTACTTGAGATCTGCTCATTTCCTTGGCTACTAACAGCCTCCACAGAATTGCTCAGAGACAAACAGAAATGCTGAAGACCCTCAGAAGTATTGGGCGTCTCAGCCATAGGTGCCTCCTTCAGAGAACTGGGAACAAGAGGTTGGGAGGAGGCAGCAAATTTCTCTTCCTCAGCGGAGCAGACCTGTGCAGTCTTTAGGCCTTCGGCCTCACTGCCTCTGGGAAGGTCTTCATCCTCTAGATTTGCCTGATACTGAGACATGACGATGTGAGTGAACGGCAGGAGGGTGGAAAGTCCACAGAGTGAGCAATGAAGAATCACTCCCTAAGGGAGAAAGGAAGAAAGGGAGGATGTCAGTGTCCTCAGCATTACTGCTCAACTATAGTGGCTCTGATGGAAGCTTCTTCCAAAAGGCTTTACCTGAAAAGAGTGCTATTAGGCCTCTCTAGGCTCTGATGCTCCTGCTTTCTATGCCCCCAAAACCTGAAGGAAGCAGTAATAATCCTGCCGAGAGCCCTGCCAGCTATATGACTTGAGGATACTCAGGAATCACAGGAGACAGTTGTGTTGGGCTCTGTGTCACCCTCTGCTTCATGACTGAGGAAGGTGGTCGATTGTGTAGGAGATACAATTTGTATCCAGGCAGGAGGGACGACCATTTAATGAGGTTACTTTTACCCCCTCTGACCATTGTGGTGCCTTCCCAAGACACTGCATGATTTAGTGAGGGGTCTCCTGTAACTCAAACCCTTCCCTATTCACTGGCTTGACAAAAAATAATGCTAGGATGGATTCTTTGGAATCCAACTCTTTTGTAGTAGGTGATCATTTATAGTTCCCGCCTTAGCTTCCCACAGACCTTCAGACCTAACCACTCTCAAGCAACTCTTTATCTTCTATCTACAAAGGCAGGTCTCCGTGTTCCTTGCCTGTGAATAAATGGAGGAGTGACACTGTGTATCCACCACCACTGGCACCTCCCTGGAGCAATCTCAAGGGCTCGATGGTAGAGAACACTTTGTTCGGGGGAGAGCTGTGCATTTGCTTCCAGGCCCTTACCAGAACCACTGACGGGATCTACGCACTTTTGTCTGCTAATAAGGTATGACACTGGCGTATGGATCAAGAACAACTTGGGGGACTTGGCCAAGGAGTGAATGGTTAAACTGCAGGACAAAAGCACTGTGAGAAGGCTTTCACAGGCTCTGCGAGAAGAGAACAGGTAGAAAGAAGAGCTTTCCATTAGGGAGGCATATTGTATCTGGCCGTTGTCCTCCTTTCCCCAAGAAAGCTGCCCAGCCTTGAGACAGTTCCTTGCTCAGACTGCTCTCTTTCTGCTTTTCTTTCCCTTACACTGTTGTTCTGAATAAAAGCCAGAGAGCTCTCAGCTTCCTTGCTGCTCCTAGGAGTCTCCCTAACACTGGGTGCTCTTGGTTGAGAGAGCCCCTCTGCCCGCCTGACTGACTGAACCGAGTCTCATCTCTGAGCAATCTTTTTTCATCCTTTGTGCCACCACAATCGCACACTGTGACAAGCAATCCTGACTGAAAACTCCCCAGAAGTAATGCTGTGGGCAACTGTTCAGCTGAAAGCTGCCTACGGCTCACTGGCTTGATAAAGTCGTCAGGGTACTTTGGTAACCCACTGCCTGTGGTAGATTTTTCTCAGTCCTTTCTCCAAGTCTCCATATACACTCTTGACATTTCCTGGGCACCACATATACTGGATTCTCAACAAGCAACATTTATACCAACACCACCACTTCCCTAAAACACCAGTGCATGAAGTGAGCTGGTGAGACTTTGAGCCATTCATGCCCGGATCCTCTAATGGAAAGAACAGGAGATTGTAGCCAGTACGTCAATTCTCACTTACACTGTGTAGAGCGCTCATCACTGTGCTGTGAAGGTCAACACCACAGCTCTTTACTTCGTGTGACGCTCATTCTGTCCTCCGAACTGATGTTGCTGACTTTTACTAAGTACTTATGTCATTCTGACCAGGAAGAGTCAGCGACAGCACGTGTGACCACACTTGTCTCAGTTTTCCCAAGGGCTATGGCAAGCCTGAGTTCTGTTGGGATCACTCTGTTCTCAGCTGTGTTATGTCATCCTGACTCTGGGGCTTTCCCTTGTGTCATGCAACTTTTTGGGGTGCACAGTAATACTTCAGTTCATGAATACTTCTGTTTGCAAATAATTTGGTTGGCAAACAAAAGTGTTCAGCAAAATTTTGCTTCCATTCACAAACTCTGCACCAGGTGACAAACATGACCACAACCATCTTCCCTACACAAACACAAATGAGTCATTTCCCCTTAAATTGTAAAAGAAATCAAGTTCATAAACCAAGGTACCAATGTCTATCACTTCTTCAGACCCAAGCCTTTGTAAACCGACATTTACCTTGCATGAAATACAGAGATAGCACAGCCTGACTGGCTTGCCCAATGCTTTCTGCAGCTCAAAGCACAACGAAGCAGGGAATGATCAGATGCCATCTTCTGAAAAGCTGCTCCCCTGGGCCCTCAGTCAGTGTTTAATCCTTCCCTATGGAGCTACAGACCCCAATTCTGATAACTATAGTCACTTCTGCTAGAAAGTGGCATCACATCCATAAGACATCTGGGAAGGAAGGGATAAGACATCTCATGTACCTACTAAAACTGGCTTGCCAGTGCTCACACCGAAAGGAAGACCTCTGCGTAAGAGTAGGTAGACTCCTCACACCTCTTCAGGGTCCTCACTCTGATCTTGGCAGGCTTTCTGACTCATTCTGCAGCTGACCTGATGTGATGTGGTCTCTACACAGCGAAATACTGCCCTCCCTGGAAGCCCAGGAAGGGAAGGAAGGAACATCTCTTCAGGAGATGCCTGCCTGAGACACCCCGAACTGGGAGCAGCAATGGAGTATGTTGGGCCTCTTTTGTACTTAGGTGGATGATAGCTTCAGTCTTCGAACTCTCCTTGCTTCCTAGACACTCACTCTTATGTTGACCTGAGGCTGCCTTTGATACCAAGACACTCACTTCCCTGAGACACATGAAAATCAAATGAGTGTAGAAATTCTGACCATTCCTGCCAGGAGGTTCTAATGCAGAGCCAGAGTGGAGTTATGAGGGTCCCAAGTCTACTATAATAAATATCTTCTCAGTCTTTACGCAATGTCTACACATTGGATCCTGCTCCTGTATGAATCTCTCTCTTTGCTGGCCTACTATCCCTTCTTTATGCTAAAGACTCACCTCTTAAAGAAAAACTAGGAGGAACTGATGCAATATTACATATGTGTGGCTTTGCTGGGAGTTTTGCGCTGTAGATCACTATGGCCAGGCCTAACTCGCCTCTTCCCACAGATGAGGCAAGGCCCCGAGGGAGAACAGGTGACAAGAGGGCTTGGTGGAGCAAGGCCTAGCTGAGAAAAGGACTGCCTTCCTCCCCACCCATTCATCAGAAAACCATCAAGCATGACGTCCTGGCTCCGGTTATAGACCAACCCTTTTTTCCACCCCCTGCATTTCTCTTATCTCTACCACTATAAATAAACACTGCTGTGGTTGCTTGGTGGTCTTTTTCCTCCCATCAGGAGTTAGAGCTCCACCTGGCCCCACCTTATCTCTCTGTCTTTTCTGAATCTCCCAACATCCTTTCTCACTCTGTGGCCCCTTAAGCCATGCGGGCCATGGAACAGCTTAACATCCCACAATAGGCGACATGGATGTACATGGTGGGGCCATCTGTGTTCTGAGCTGAGGGGCTGTATCACAATTAAATCAAGAATTCTTGGGCCAGGGATTTGGCTCAGTGGTGCCGCTGCCTACCTCTCAAAGGCAAGATCCCAAGTTCAATCCTCAGTACCAAAAACAAACAAACAAAAACTGAAAGTTCTTACCTTAAATTCCTCAAGCACCTGCAAATTCTCTGTCGGATGATCTTGGTCATGCACCCTTACACTGAAGCCCTCACTCCTCTAAAAGAAAAAAAAAAAAGGGACAACATGAAGTTACCTGACCTGTGTGTTCCTGTCCCATGTTCTTTCCAGAGTTGACCAAAGAGTTTGTGTAGAGGCTCAGGTTGATCCTTTATTTCACAGTGTGTGGTTCAGATGCTCTTCTGGGTCAGGTTGACTGAGTCCTCAGAGCGCCTTGGATTTATGCACCTGACCTGAGCTTACCCTCCCACCATAAAATCTCCTTCCCCCAAAATACAGTGAGTGAGTGTCTCTTCTGGATATTTCTGCTGAAAAGTATCCAGAGTTCCACATGAGCTGTGAGACCACATAAGTGCATGTGGTGTCTTTTCCTTCAGACATGTTTTGTTGAAACCTCTGGAAACCCAGCATTACTCCTGTGGACCTGACAGAATCCAGTTGTATACTAACAAAACCCACATTTCCCTGAGAGGTCAGAAGGAAATGTGACATCTCCTCAGGCTGTCATCTGTCCTGTTGGTCTCCCAGGACCTTGCTGACAGCAAGGGAAGAACGTTTTGGATCTTCCTCTGTCAGCTACTTGTTATTCTCACAGCCCTCAGGTCTACTCTTTATATGGGCAAGTGGTTGTTAATGTACCACCTGTTTTCTATTATCAGTCAAGACCTCACCTTTCTCACATAGCCCAGAAGGGATTTTTGAGACATCTCAGGAACGGGACATCCAGAACAGACCACAGGTCCTAGATACTATGGTGCACTCTCTGCCTTGGGGTGGGCACAACCTTAACAATTCACTCAAGGTCCCCACCTGGGATCATTTCAGGCCTCAGAAATTGGATTTCTTTCTCTGAAGACATGATGCTGCCTCCATGTGACTAAGGCCTCACCACCTTTAGATTCTTTAGGGAGATGTCTGTAGGTACCCCTTTCCTCCACTAGCACGCAGAGACTGAGGGCTGAAGTTCAGTGGTTTGGTCACAATTCTGCAATGATAGCATAGTTACTCAAAGAATTTTTTGCTTTTGCTTTTTGTTTTCCTGTACTGGCCACTGAGCCCAGGGTCTCTGCACTAAGATTCATCTCCAGTCCTTTTTAATTTTTTTTTTAAATTTTGTGACAAGGACTTGCTAAGAGGCTAAGACCATCTCTCTGGGCTGTCGATGGCCATTCTCTTGCTACAGCTTTCCAGATTGTTGGGATCACAGCCTGTGACATAACACAGGCTTTTTTCCTCCCCTGCAGTACTGAGGATTAAACCCCAGCAGGGCCTTTGCCCTGATGGGCATTGTTAACTTAAAGCACCTCAGCAGACTTACTTCTGTTCTATGTTTAAGGCCTATTGACTTCTTCATTCCATCCCTCACTCCACTTCCCAGCCCAAGCTCCATCCCCTACCCCAGCTTAAAAGTTTCTGCGTTGCCTCTCGGGGCCCAGTGGAAGTCAACCTCAGACTCCCAAAATACTACTCTACTTGTTGTGCTACTGCTTCTGCCTTGATTGGTAGTCTTTAGCTCTTAAATTAACCTAATATTTGGTGCTAAAACCTGGGAGGCCTTTGTGAGATTACCAATACATAAGGTCACCCTTGCTGCTGTCATCCATCCACACAACACTGGCCATTGTCTCTGATCCAGGAAGTCAACTGCTAGGAGTCCAGAGAGTCTCTAGGTCTCCTCCAGAGGACCCTGCCCCTTCCTTCCATCCATCTGTCCATAAATCTTATCACTAGGTCTTGGTCCTCCTAGGCTTGGGTCACTGTCCCCTTGGCCTGGTCCCTGAGGAGATGCAAGATATTGGTTTCCTGCTAGTGGCCACTATTTCCCTGGGATTATTCAAGGACACCCGTGTCTCTATGGTCTTCTCTTCATTTGGTCTAGAGACCCCAACCACTGGACTCCAGGCAACTCCGGCTCAGCCTTCTGACTGCCCAAACACTAACCTTTGTTTTTGCTTTTTAAATATCTAAGAACGCTTTACCTGGGAGGGAGAAATATCAAACCAAAACTATTTATCTTCCTCTGAAACACTAACTGGCCATACTATCAATCAGATAATAGTCACTGGTGGCCAGAGCATAGCACCTTTGAATCCTAAGTACTTCAACATCTAGATAACTTTATTCAGAGCAAGGTCAAGTGGTCAGAAGACCCTTATGTACAGGCATTTTCCATCTTCCCAGTCACTCTTCACTCTGCTAATCCTGTACTACATTCCAAATTCTCCTCCTTCATGATCAGTCTAGATTTGACTCTTATTCTGTGCTCACACTTCAATTTGATCCCTCTGACCATCCACCCCCACCCCCACGTCCCTCAACATTCAGCCCCTTCTTCTTCATCTTCACCTCGTCCCACCCTCACTTTCCTCCAGTCTTCCCAACTCTGCCATCAGAGGTTTCCTCTCATTCTACCTCTTCTCCCTTTCTACCATCCTTTCCCCCACTCACTGCCCACTCGTGCATACCGACTCTCCCTCTCTCTCCCTCTCTCTCCCTCTCTCTCCCCCTCTCTCT